TGAATGGAGCAAAAAACTAACTTTCTTCTTCTCTTCTTCACAAACTCAAAACCTAAAAAACTCTTGGTTCTTTTTCTCTTCTTTCTCACTCTTCACTTCAGTGGTTACGAATGGTAGTTAAGCCAAAAAGGTGAGAGCCTTTTTAGCTTTCACAATACGTCTCTCGTTTGAGAGCATGAAAAGGTGGGGTGGGCCCCTCATATGGGCTGGACCCACATCCAACAGAATTTTATCTTGATACCCGCCCTAGTATGAGTGATAACAAAGATGCTTAGCGCCTCAAAAATATTTGTACAGTATAACTATTAATAGTAAATCTTTATTGAAGACGAAATGTACTCTATTTCTATGCATTAACGGTCATTGTTTAGTAACTGTAAATTTCATGTTTTTGCCTTTGTGGTGGTGCTATCTTTCACTCAAAATTGCCTTTTGTAGCGGATGGTGATTGTTGTCATTGTAATAGGTTAGTAATAAAATTGTTTTTATTTTGTTTGGAAAGCTGTGGGCTTTAAGTATAAACTCCACCAACCGACTGCAGTTTGATTTTATTAGTAAAATTGGGGTGAGGGTGGTGTATTACTGGCGACCAAGTCATTGGGCTTGGAGGGAATTGCGAAATGTGTGGATAGAGAGAGGAGGAAAGTTGGTCAATGGGATTTTAATTTCTCATTGACCAAAACTCCATGTTCTTTTTTTAGATTTAAGTGGGAAGCAGGGAAAGTTGTACCTATCTCCTGGGTGGATAAATAATTTTCCCACCTTGGGGGAAAATTGTTAATACTTAAATGGGACAAAAATACCCCTTGTAATAATATATTTTTATGGCTAAAATGGTCATTGTCTTGTTTGCATGAGAAATAAAAGAACATGGATAGGTAAATGCATTTATCCAAGTAAATAACTTACCAAAAAGCGAACAAGACTATAAATTTTAGAACTTCGAGTTTATTTTTAAAGCATTGGCTAATAAGGGATTTGGTTATTATTGACAGTCAGAGATAAGTGGTGGGCCAATTAGGCCAAGAAACCAGAGCTTAATGATGTTATTAGTGCCTAGTGCCCAAGGCCCAAGCTTTTCTGTCCCAAGCGTTACTTTCTATCTAGTTAGGTGCTGTTCATGAAAGCTAACAGCGTGAGTTGTAACATTGACCAACCCTATTACTAACAAAGTGACCACAAAAAAAAAATGCCTTTTCTTTTCCTTTTTATTTCTTGTCAACCAAGAACATTGGTTCTGGGTTTGTCTTCAATCACATCGCAACTAAGAGACTGAGGGTTACTTGAGATGGGAAGTTCTGATAAAATCGTCTAAAGTTTAGATTTAAAAGTTGTGCTGCACTAGCCCTAATCTCCATTCTACTTCCAAAGTGGACAATTGGGCCTAAATTGTAAAAGAAGATCAACTGATATTGCATTGTGATGTTAGTGGTGGGTCGGGTTAAGTGGTAAACCCGCACTGACCTGGCCCTGTCGGGTTAAGATTGGGTTGGCCTAAATTGGGTTTTGGGTTTGATTGGGTTATAATGTGAACCTGCTCTAGATCCATCTCTTGAAATTGCAACATTGACATATTCATGTATATAGGCTTCTGAGTACAAGTGTATTATATATGATCAAGGTTTAATGTATTGATGTGATATTTCTCATATTAACAATATTTTCAAAATCGGATTGGACCAGAAAAATTGGGAATTAGGGCTGTAGTTAATCCGATTCTGCTACGATATTTTTTTTAAATATCAGACATATTGAAAATTTATTTATTTTTTAACCTTTATATATAATAAACTAAATTTATTATATACACAAATTCACATATAATATAATATATAGAATATATTTTTATAATTTTAAATATAATTATATAAAACTTATATATTAAAATTAATAATTGTTATATTATAAATGGATTTGGATTTTAAACGGATCGGATGGGGTCAAATCCGAATCCGATCCGATTGTTAATCAGGTGTAGATTGTAACATCCGAATCTGAATCCGAAATAATCAAATCAGATATCGGATAGGGTCTCGGATTTTCATATATGACAGTCCTATTGGGAATTGGTCGTTTGACCTGTTTTGTTTCACCCTAAAACCATCTTTTGGCCAAAAACCATTGGTTTGGTCAATAAACCTCTGACCCAATCAATTGAATCGTCGAACCAAAAAACATATTTTTATTATTTTTTATTTTTATATTTTTTTTGTCAAAACAAGCCATCCGTTCAGATCAAACAGTTGAATTGTTTGACTTAAAAAACCAGTCCCAAAAAAATTTCCTGTCCCGTCCGATTTTAAAAACCTTTTGCATATTAGGCAATATAATATGTTTCAAGGGTTACCGAAACACTTTATAGTAAAACTGTACTAGTAGTTTTAAAATTTTGATGGTTTTTTAGGAGAATACACATTCATACATATGGGTGCATGGATACTTTGAACTTTGGGTTAGGTTTCATACTTACATAATCTTTTCCCTTTTGGGCTTGGATTAAACCAAATCCGACCCGTTCGTTTACATCGCTGGCTTGCAGGTAAAACGCATGTATTCTTCCATGTGGCCAGTCCGGATGAATTGGAGACAAAATCATATACACCCGGCTGAATTACATATCACAGGTGAACACACCAGTGCCCAACCATGTGGGATCCAGCTATACTGAACACTAGCACCCACCAACACGGCAACACCCCGTGAAAGAAGTGATTTGTACAGTAAGGGAGGCTCATTGGACACTAGGGTTTGGACTTTGGAGGGGTTGAGGTTTGTGTGGTGAGCAGTAAAGCCATATAGCCCGGAAAGTGGGCAGGCTGTGTAACTTTCGGCATGGTCAATGGGACATGGAGAATGCATCCTCTGGACCATTTGACCAGACCCAAGCAGCTATTCTAGCCTAGTGATGGCGTCAAGCAGAGATATTCACTAAAAGAAGGGGATGGACTATGGAGCTGTCGGCACTCGGCACCCAGCTTAATTGGTTATCTGGTTAACTACTCCACTATTAACCCACGACCATGATTCCTTTGAAAACTCGGCTTTGCCGCTCGCTTTATGCAGATTTCAGTTGAATTGGATGGTGCTGCCTGCGTTGCCTTCCTCTTCACTTCCACTCACCTTCCTTTCCAGTTCCATCGTTTGATTCTCTGTAATTGCCAAACGAAGCAGCGAGCGACCTCAGAACAATGGAATTCGAGACTCACCGACTTTTATCAAAATTCTGAATGTCTCACTTCAAATCAAACTTCATTCAAAATTCAAATCGTCTAGGGTTCTACTCTTTGATACGTCTACGTCTACTCTTGCCACGTGGTAAGTTTTTATCTTTTCATCGGTAACCCTGCCTAGCCTAGATCTTCCGTCCGATGCGCTAGCGGCTAGCGCAAGCAATACCCGACCCAAGAATTTCTCCAATTACTTTTAGGTTACTACAACCTCCGTACAGGTGTACCCTAAAGGAAATCAGTCCCGCTGCATCCTAAGCAACCTGTACCTGCACCCCCTACACGTGTAGACACACCGATAGGTTCATACTTCACAGTCACTTTTCTTTGACTCCTGCTGTCTCCGTGTAGCGTGCGCCCCCAAGCGTACTGCGTACCTTCGACCTAACCAGTGCTCCTCTAGATCGTCCATCGAGATGTACGGTGGAGATGCTACTCGGTTTTGAGTCAGGTGTACGGTATTTTACTGGACGTTCAGTCTTTCCAGCGTAGATAAATACGTGTGTGTTGCACGTGGCATCCCTGTACTCAGTTCTCAAATTCCATTTATTTATTAATGATTATACTTAACTTCACCTACATCCATGCATGTATGTATCAAGGCATCCATCATCATGATGGTATGGGGTACGATGGATAATGATGGCATGGCATCGGCATACATCATGCATCATCCATCATCCATCATCCATCATGTATGGAAGGAAACGGTAGCGGTTGATTCAGCGTTTCTGGACGGTGGGGTTTATCATCGGCTCCACCCACAGCCAGTCGGAACAGCCATATAGTTCAGAACCTTTCTCATTAAAAAAAAGGAAAGGAAGAGTGAGGCTGCTCCCTGGTTAGACGACCGTCAACGAGGCAACCGGAAAGCAGCCGCCGTCACCGACAGGAGGATGGAGGCGCGTGGGGATTAATTAGAAGGTAGCGTCCGCGGACCGCCGTGATGGCTCCGTTGCCGACAATCTTGAGGGCCATTAAGTGCGATAGCTACGGCGCGTCGAAGCACGTGGGGACGCAAGGCGGGACCCAGCGTAAGCAAACGTCAATAATAACACTGAGGGAGAGGGAAGGAAAAGGAGCAAAAAGAAGCGCGTGGGGGTGAGGGGACCACACGAGCGTCGAAACCCGTCGCTGTTCTTTCTCGTAATTAAAGCCAGCCGGCCATGCTGACACTTTGTATTAGGTGGAGCGAGGAGTTGCGTGTTCTCTGCTTCGTTTCTCTCTGCCTTCCTATGTGTTCATTTACTTTTTGCCTTTTATGTGTTCGATGAAATTCGCGTGAGATGTTGGGGACTATCGAATCCAGCTTCCGAGAAACGGAAGGAGTGACTGACACACAGACAGGGCCAAGCAACTCACCCGTTTTGGCGAACAGAATTAAAATAGACCACACACGTACGTGAACAAACTGTCCCAGGTCCCAGTCATTGCTCCTCATGCCCAAGACGAGTATTCGGTAGTTGGTCCCGTTCTACTTATATCTCGCGAATTGATAGATCCTTTATTTACTGTTCTGTTCATGGAAAGGATATGATATCGAAAAAATATCTGACCAATCAATTGAATCATAAATCTAGTAGTGAATCAAGTGTAATTTGTCCAAGTTCATGTGTGGATTGTTGATTCGTCAAAACTCTTTCCATACCTTGCATCATAGATTTTTCCTAATTACAATTAGAACGTCATCTTATCGCAAACAGTCGGCGTGGACCGTAGAAAAAAAAATACGCTAAAGACCCACTTAACACACCATAGCAGAAAAAATGTGCGTGAGAGAGAGAGAGATCTGTTCATTATCCGTAGACGGAGGAGCTGTAAGCGAACGGTTTGATGCTACCACTCCAACCAACAAAAGTAGACAATATCAAAGATTTAAAACAGAGATTGGGGGAGCTCGGAAGGTGGAAATAAAACATGACAACATGCTTCGTTTCACGTAGCTAAGAACTAAAAATATATTTACAAACTGATTCTCTACGAGTCGATCTTTCTCAGTTCCATCTCCGAAAAGTGAAACCCAGAAGAAACAAAGGGGAAAAATAAGCAAGGCAAAGAAGGAAGACGTGGTGAAATAAGCAAACAACCAACGTAAAAAAACAGCTTCTCTTCTTCCTTTCTCATATCAAGCACAGAGGCGATGTCGTAGAGGGTGGAGGCTCGTTCAAGTCGATCGACAGGCCCCGTCTCGCAATCCCGAAAAACGACTGCGGTGCCGGAGTGAGTTCTGCCGCCGAAGTCTCGCCCGAAGCACATATATCTCTAACCGGAGGACCATCACCGGAGCTCACCTCCTTGAGAACGCGAGTCTGCAAATACTCACCGAATACAAAACCACCAGGAGGACAGGCCCAGCGGTCTGAAGGGACGTTGAGGTCAAAAGATAGAGCAGTCGCCGGAGCCGGGAAGTTAGTCTTGGCTTTAGCTCCCCTGAGAGACCTGGCAGCGCCGTCGTAAGCAAGAGCAGCTTCCTCGGGGGTATCAAAGGTACCCAACCAGACCCTGGTTTTCTTCCATGGATCCCTTATTTCGGCAGCGTATCTTCCCCACGGTCTCTTCCTCACTCCCCTGTAGTGTCCTTCGCGAGAAGCCATGACGAAGAAGAAAAAGCTCTGCAACGTTATTAAATTGAGCGGCAAAGAGAGAGAGAGAGAGCTGCAACCACTGCAGCAGCAGCCTAAAAAAGAGCAAAACAGAAAAAGTGGAATGGGACCCACTAAAGTCTCTGTCTCCCGTAATCATCGGCTAAGTGGCACGATGTTTTCTGAATCAGATGCCTCCCTCCCGTTAACCATCCGTCTAAATTCAGAACGGAAGTAGATCTAAATGACAAAAATAGCCCTAACACGTAACACTCATCATGATATTGGTGATGGGTAAACTAGTAATTTAATATTTCCGTTAGTACTTTTTTTAACGCGGACAGGAGTCCTAAAAAAGAGCTCATAAATTAAAAAAAAAAAAAAAGGTGCAAGTAGGTCGTCGTGTCGTGGGAGCAGCAAAGGCAGGTGCCAGGCACACACGCATCAGAGCCGCCGCTTGATTGGACGTGTCGCAGGGGGCTTTCATGTGACTCCATAACAGGACGGTAACGTCAGCCCTACTGTAGTACGGATACTGACGAGCGGCGCCTTCTTTTCTGGTTCTTCTCCCTTTTTCTTTCTAATAATAATTCGATATTTTATATATATTTTTTATTGATTATTGTTATTGAGCAGCGGGAATGGGGACCACTGGCAAGGACTGAGGACGGGGGTGTCATGTCACGTTGTGGGTGGAGGATAGTTACTTGTCTCTGATGTGTGTTTTGAACTTACTTTAGAAGTTAGAACTGGCTGCGGCTTCCCACGTGGACGGAATCCGCGTCGTGTCGAGATGCAGGGGACAGCCGAGTTCCACTCGCTCCTCTCCGGCCGAGTTCCTCTTGGTCGGCGACTCGCCCCGCACTGGGCCCCTCTGTTGCATACGGCCTGGCACTGGCACTGGCACTGGCAAATTCAACGCGTTTCTCCTCGTGATTCGTATAAGATTGCTTGTGGGCTGGGCTGGGCTGACAAATAAAATAGCCCATGTGATGGGCTGCCCTCCATGGATTTGAGTCCAATTGAATTCCAGGAGAGTATGAAGCGAAGTAGGATGTAAATATAATAATAATACCAACTTCCCTTCCACTCCACGTGCCATAAATAAGTGGGTTTCTTATACTTAATAGAGAGTGGTATTGGTGAATCAAAATTCATTTAAATAAATAAAACATAATATATTTAACATAAAATTTGTTAAATAAAGAATTAAAAACTATTAAATACCCATGTGGATGAATAGCTGTCTTTCATGGATCATGAAACGCATCAGCTTAGCCCCATTGGGATCCATTCCAGGATTGGATCTTGGATCCATTACCAGAAAGGGCTGAAAGCTACTGAAGAGGTCAGACTCAGACGATTAGGCGTCTGTTTGGCATATACGTTACATGCCAAACATATACGTTAGTTACATCGGAAAAAGTGGTACTTCAGGAATCGCCTGTTAGTTTGAAATCGTTTCTTGCTCTAAGCCACACCTTAGAAATCTCGAACGATTAACCACCCGGGTCAACGGTTTTCTGACTAAAATCAACGATTTTTTGAGAAATTCTGATTTTGGGGAAAAACGAAACAGGTCACCTGACTGATTTCCGGTTTTTCCGGTCCAACCGTCTGGTCCGGTCCGGTTTTGAAAACCATGCCTCAATCCCCTGAAATGTGTAATATGTAATACCGAAAAACAGTTATTTTCATACAACCATTTTCCTCTTCAAAAAGCAGAAAGAAAAGTGAAATATTTTGCACCTCCACAGTCCACTCACTGTTTATGGAGTAAACTTTCAGCCTAAGCAGCCTAGTAATGCTTATTCATCCATTATCATGACCTAGAAATAATTTAGTGGAATTATAAAGAAAAGATAGATTAGAGAAACAAATACACAGCCAATCTTGGAAATCCTTAGGCTCAGTTTAAAAAAAGTACAAATATAAATATATACAGTACAAATACAAACAAAATAACACAAAATACATACAAAATAACACAAAATACAAGGTTTTGTACTGTACATTTTCATTCACAAATTGTCTTTACTGAAAAACCTGGTTTTTCTCCTTTTCCTTTCTCAATAAATGTTTATAATGGATTCAACAGTGGATGTCTCTATCAGCTGCGAAGTGAACGGTTGAGATTATTTTCAAGCTTCCATCTGATTGATAAGTTTAATATGTGGATGGAGAGTTTGTGTGGGTTTTGATTAGTTTAATCCTATAGGATTGAGTGTTCAGGTTGTTTGTGATGGGTGAACTGTGAACAATTTAGACTATATATTCTTTTGGGTTGCTCTAAAGTCATCTCTTGGAACCTACATATGAAGCAGAGATACAATTACAAGCACTAACAAGTAGCAATTCAACAACAGTCTTAGCCTTTTGGGTTTCTAAAAAAATTCAACAACGGCCACACAAATGTACCTATTTGGTTTACTAAATTTGTCAACTTTAGATTATCAGGGTCAGGGGGAATCATATTCTAAAAATTATTTATTTTATTGTTCTGGTTCTTGAACATGGTTGGAGTAGATCCTACATCAGTCTCTCAGTTCTATGTCCTTTGCAACCCCAAAAGAGATTCTTCTCGATTTGTCTATGTTATACACGGATGCAAACTAAAATTAGGGATGACAATTTCCACCCTTCCTTCATGGGCGCTCAACCCCTAATGCTTATAATTAGATTATTTTTGTAAGGCATTTAAAATTATGTATTGTGTGTTGAAAATAATAATATTTTGAATGTTATGTGAAGGATAATTAATAACTGTGTATTTTCTATATATTTCAATCAAATATTAAAAATTTTGATATTTGTTAATGTTATTTTTATTGTTTATTACTTGTCTAATAGGAAATAACAAAAAATTAGGTGTAGTTTCAACTTTCAAAAGCCAACTTGCCAACCCAACCCACCCCACCCTCAAATGTGGGGAGGGTAGGGTTGGGGGAGGGTTTTTTGCATTTTAATGTTCCATAAGGGTTTGGATTTTGAAAATCTAACCGGTTGTGGATTTTGGGGAGGGTACGGGTTGGGAGGTTTGGGGAGGCAGGGAGGGTCTAGAATTTACAAAACCTCTCCGAGCCCGCCCGTTGCCATCCCTAACTAGAACAGAGGTTCAACCATTGCATTCAAAAAATGGGGATTCCCTTGTTTCTGCTTCCTTTCTTTCTTCCTCTTTATGTATCTATAATGAACTACAAGAGATCTTTCAATACACTGCCAAATTTTGGAGCATTTTCAAAAGAAAGCGGACTGGGTGAACTGATTTGCCAATGAAAAGAGGGAAATTTAGGGGGTGTTGACAACATAGTTTTGCTAATGTGGCAGCTGTAGTTGTTAAAGGAGAAAACGAGGGTAGGAGAGATAGAAAGAAAGAGAAAATCCCTCGCTATGATTCTTACTCACCCAGCTGAATAGAGGTTTGGGTTGGAGGTTCAAAAATGAGTTGTCACAACTTGGGGAGCTTTGTTTCCCGGTCTCTTAACAAAAACTAGTTTAAAAATCTTTTACATCTAAGCAAAGAGACATCAAGTTTGGATTGGTTCTGTTCTTGGAGCGGTTTAGATGATTCCGCCTCTCTAGTTAATCCGATTAGGCTGATGATTTTTGTAGAGCTGATGTTTTAGTTAGAACCCATCATCTGTTGGTGGCTCCTGATTCCCAGACCTGAGATGGTCTTTTTAAATAAGCTTGAAAATGTTGAACAAAATATGATTGCTTCATTCCATCTCTATAACGCAGATACTTGATAAAAATTAAATTTGATTATATAACATTAACTTGTATCTTCACCCTTGTGTATAGCTAGTGCCCTTATACTAATTTCTAGCGATAATCTAAAACTCATAACTTTTCTACATTTATCTTTCACCATGACTTTTCAAAACATCCAGAAAGCTCCCTGTTAGTGATTTTATTGAATTTTCCATGCTACTCGTATTAGAGGTTATAAATTATAATGTGTAAACTGGGTTGTAACGTAAATTATGTAATCGGAATTTTTTCCCTCCTTATGTCTGCTGGTCGAGACGGAGGTGAGGACAAATAGAACTAATGGATTGTTTATAAAATTGCATACTAGTAGGGAAGAATTTACATTGCATGTGATAAAAATTGAAGGCCAAGGTTTTTCAGTGTAACGTTGGCACTCCTAAGGCACCAAAACTGTCCTCGGATCAATTAAAGCTAGTTAACCCAAATCAACTAATACCAAGTCTAAGAAATAAAAAATATATTTTTTAATAAAAAAAAAATAACAAACGAGAGAGAACATTGAACCAAGGGATATCTATCTTTTCCAGAATATATATCGGAAGATCCAAGGGTATTTCACCATTTTATGGAAATCCATTTTCTGACTTTTTTTATGAAAAAGGATTTCATTTTCCCTGGCCATATGCATCAATACATGCAATCAAATACCAAAAACTAGCATTTTCTTGCAACTTCAATGTTTTCCTCCATTCTACGTTGTGCAAGTGCAACCAGAGAATGAAGTTTGTGTAGCAGGAAAGAAAAAAATAATCTCTCATCCAATGTAAAAATATCAACCGAAGGCCGCTCTTAGTATGAATGGTCGTTTAATATATGCAAGGAATCATTTGTCTGTGTGTGTAAGATACTTTGGCTGAAAACAGAAAGAGAAGGAATGAGCAATATACATGACAATCTACAGCATACAACACCACACAAAAATGAAGGGCACGTGTACGCTTTCAGACGTGGTAGAGTGCCTTCTCAAGGGCTATTAAGCAAGACCTGAGAAGAATCTTGAAGCATTTTATACTGAGAAGCTCAGAAAGCAGCCCAGCTGAAGAACAAAAAGCTTTGGGACTGCAGGGGCAAGCAGATGGATGGTATGGGATTGGAGGTTTTGGTCAAACCAAAGGTATCAAATGGCAAGTGCACAGACAGCAAAGTTGAAAGGATCCAGAATCATAGCCAATCAAGAGAGCAAACTGGGTCCATTCTCAGAAACAGACCGAACGAGCTCATGATGCCTAGTCAATCGCACATCACGCACAAATTGTGTTCTTGCTTTTGCATATGGAGCATCTCTTGCTGACAGACAAAAGTAGGAAGATCGTTAGAACCGGTAAAATAAACCCTGTGTAGGTTACCAAAAAAAAACCTGGTGTATCCATGCGGGCTCTTGTTGCTTGTATATATGAATGAGTCTAAATAAACAGGACCAATACACACCAGTACTGAACCCCATTATCCGAGGTCTTGGGAAGGGTGGTCTGGTTATGGACCTAACTTCTAGCACCTTTTATAGAAAGTGTCCCCTCTCAGACTCAAACCCATATTTTTGTTGTCAGCTCACGATTTTACCATTGTTCCAAGCAACGGCCCCACAAATGATCTTGTATAGCATTCTTCTCATAACAGGAGCTGTCACAGCTAAAGTGGCTGAACTGAATGACTTACTACTTTGTCTTTTAGTTGACAAAATAATTAACAAATAAAGATATTTGAGGCTATAATAATCAACCCAACTTCAGCTTCAGCCAGTACAGAGCTCACAACCTCGTTATTCACTCAGAGACAAAACAATAAGCCATTCAATTCAGATCAGCCACTTCAGCTGTTATCAAACGTCCCCCATAATTTTTTTTTTATTGTTCCTGATAAAATAAGGCCCCAAATTAATGCATATACAAGGTCCTTACCTGCAATTCTCTGTGCCCGCAGTATATTCTGTCTTCTTTTCCACCAGCACATTGAACAGACAAGAAGAAGTATAAATGCCACAAACACCCCAAATGCAATCCCTATCTTGGCACCAGTAGAGAGGTGGGGTCCACATGTTGGTAGTCCCGGTATGCCACAAAGGCCAGCATTACCAGTAAAACTGCATTTGTCCACAGCAAATGTCATAATTTTGCAGTACAAAAGGGAAAACAAGCTCCTCAAGCCGTTTTACCCTCAGCATTAAAAGTCCTAAAAACCATTTTTTACCAATAAGCAGATCAAAGAAACTCTATTAAGGTAATGAAAGTGGTAATTAAGATAATTCTTCACAGGCCAAAAGGCCATTGCCCAATGTCAGTCCCAGCTATCTGGATCTTGGGAGGGTGGACTGGATAAAGTCCACCTTCAGTATTTTTTGCACAAAGTGGCTGCCCGTAGACGCGAGTCCACATTCTCATGCTTGACACATGTTAACAAATATACAAGATCACCCCCAAGCTTCTGAATCATCCAAACAGATTATCCCTCCCAAAACCCTCTCTTGATGAAGCTCATAAAACCATGTTGGAGACACATGAAATGAAATTATTTTATTTAGGTATCTATGGCATTTGAGTCAGCAAGGTTATAAACTAAAATGAGGTAAAAAGAAAAAAAGAATGAGTCCGCTTCTTAAAATCCTGAAATTATTTCACTTTTATCTTTTTTAGCAAACCAGAGATTTGCCCATTTTAAACGGTAGCTTCGCTCACGTGTGTAATAGTCATGATTAGAATCATTAGATAAGTTCTTTCCAGCCACAATTACACACTAAATAATTCTAGTGTTTCATATTTTATGGGTAAATTACGAACTGCCACCCTGTACTTAGATGGTGGTGACACTTAACCCCCCAAACTTTGTTATGAACATGGACCCCTGAACTTATGGAATTCAACATTTGCCCCCTATTCCACCAACAGGGTTGACAGTGAAGGTGAAATTACTAAATTTCCCAGTATAGATTTGATGAGCTGAGAAAAAAAGCTATCAAAATGATAAAAATGGACACTATCTCTTTTGGATTGGGTTACTGTGCTTCCAACCCTTGTTGAAGAAGAAACAGAGTTCATTGACAGGTATTTGGAAGCACAGTAACCCAGCAAAAGAGATATTGTGATTTAGCATGCCCATTTTTGTCATTTTGACACTCTCAGCTCATTATATCTAAACTGGGTAATTTTACAATTTTACCTTCACTATCAACCCCGGGAAAAGTGCTGAAATCCAAAAGTACAAGGGGGTCTTAGTTGAAAAACAAAGTTTTTATTTATTTATTTTTATTTTTTATTTATTTATTTATTTWTTTTTWTTWTTWTTTTTTTTTTTTTTTGGGGGGGGGGGCGCTAAGTATCACTACCCCCTAAGAACAGGTTGGTAGTCTCTAATTTACCCCATTTTATAATAGTCGTGTATCTTGACCCATTAAATTGACCAATGAAATAAAAACCATAGCATACTTGAAGCTAGCCCTGTGCAGAAGCCTTCCTCCAAGTGCAGCTGGAACTCTTCCAGATAGAAAGTTGCTATTGAGATTCCTGCCACCATGAGTTAGATTAGATCCCAAATTTTGTATATTTCTATTAAATTTCCAAGCCAAGCAAATTGGATGGTTAGAATTTTGCTCTTACAATCTTCTTAACGATGTTAACATTCCAAGGCTTTCGGGTATCGTATCATTAAAGAAGTTGAAGGAGAGGTCTCTGCCATGCAACTATATGCAGTTAATCACCAAGAAATTTCATAAGCAAAGCACGGCAATTAATAGTCAGGCTGAAAGATTACCATAAAATGAGACTATATAATTTATTTAATTTAAGCATTAAAGAGATACTATAAACACAGATACAACACATTTCATAACTAGAAATCTTTTCCTTTCACATGCTTTTGATGCTGAGGCATGAAACCATACCATAAGCAAGTTGTGGTTCAAACATGTATGTCACAGAAAGTTTTGGAATTTTGTATTCATTTTTTTTCAGAACTTTCTTAATCTACTGGGTGTGATAAGGCAGAAATATTTTCACCTCTTCTATTGGGAGTTGTCTTCACCAAAGATACATCTTCCATACAGTTGACTGGTGACCTTTCTGTGATACGACTGTTATCAATAGAGGCTACCTAACTTTTTTCTGAACATCGAAACCCAAAGATTAATTTGAGGACAAAATTCTGATATTCTGCTCCCAAGTTCAATATCAATGTGGTTCACTATAAACTCATGCACTTCAGTAATATAAATCTCATTGTAATATTTTCTTGGTCAATTGGATTTGTCAGCAGTTGTAATTGTTGTACAGTTTTTGAGTAGTTAAGATGTGGGGTTTCTGCCAATGAGATTTGAAATAATCATCCCAAAGAAGTGAGCTATTTGTTCATTTGTTCCACATGAAATAGTTGGAAGGTCTGGCATTGCAGTTTCCATAGTCTCTGTGACCAACATAATTGAAATTGGTGTCAATATGTCATCATCAATTCATCATCCAAGCCCTATCCCAACTATATGAGGTTGGCTACATGAATCCTGTTTCGCCCAACATAATTGAAATTGGTGTCAATATGTCATCATCAATTCATCATCCAAGCCCTATCCCAACTATATGAGGTTGGCTACATGAATCCTGTTTCGCCAGTCTGTTCTGTTTAATATCATAGCCATTATTAAATTATTGGCACTTAAATCATTTCTTACTACTACCCATTTCCTTGTTGTCTACCCCTTGCCCTTTTAGCCCCTTCTTGTAATAAATCACTTCTTCTTACAGGTTCTGTTCATAGTCTTCTACACATAACCAAACCATCTTAGACTACTTTCTCTCACTTTATCACCTATTAGAGTTACTCCTAAGTTCTTACAGATGACTTCATTTCTGATCCAATCCTTTTCTGGTTTTCCACTCATCCATCTCAGCATACACATTTCTGCCACATGTATTTTCTGGAAATGTTTCTTGACTGCCCAACAGCCTGCTCCATACAACATAGCTAGCCTTATAATTGTGTTATAGAAATTTCCTTTTAACCTGGTGGTATTCACCTATCACATAAAGCTCCAGATGCACCCCTCCAGTTTGTCCTCTGGCTCTAATTCTATGGGCAACATCCTCTTAAATCTTTCCCTTGTTATGATTTGTTTTTTATCAGCACTCTCCCTTGTTATGAATTATCGAACCAAGGTACCAAAAAAGGTTACATTGAGTTATTTCTTGGTCTCCAATCCTAACTCTAAGTGTACCCTGATTTGCACTCCCATTGTTATTAAATTTGCATGACATCTATTCTGTTTTAGTCTTACTTCAAAACCTCCTGTTTCTAAGGCACTTGTCCATAAGCTCAATTTTGCATTTAATCCTTCGTTAGTTTCATCAATTAAAATGATATCATCAACAAATACTCTTCTAATGCATAGTATAATTAGATGCCTGACCCTAGAAGTTATAAAATAGGACAGACAAGAGTACCCTTCTTTAGACAATAATGACTAAAATACCCCACACACCTATGCATTAATAAACTCTAACAAAGGTGATTTAAGAAGAGGGAAGTAGAGCATATTTTTATGGGATGGAGTCAAAGGGGTGTAAAATGGAAGAGAAGGAAAAACTAGATAATGCATCTAAGAAAGGGATGATTCATGAAGGTAGATACATGGATCATGATTGATAACCCGCTGAATAATGATGAAATGGGTAGTGATGATGGTATTCATGATAAAGAAGAGAGGAAAAATCAGCCACTAATGGCTAGACGGAGAGAAGTATCAGGAGCAATGGAGAAAGGGAGAAGTAGCGAAGAATTTCCGGAGGTGCACAGGTGGAAATATGAATTGAGCATTGAAGCAAAAAGAATGCTGTTCGATATTGGAAGAGCCAGTGGTAGAAAAGTATTAAAAATCAGAGAGGACAGGAAGGCGATGATTCTCTTGCATGAGGAAGCTGTGTTGTGGTTAAAAGGGTTCATTGACGGACTAATCAATTCCTTCAGGACAGCAGGATGGAGGAACTCTTTGGAGGTGCTAAGGAAAAGGTATGATGTTGAGTTGAGGAGAAATGAAAAGGGATGGTTCATTACTGTTTCAGAGTTTTTTGCTGATAGAAAACAAATGGCATGCATACCAGAAGGGAAGCAGCTACAAGGCTGGATCTCTTTTACAGAGCAGTTGCAACAGTTTCTTGTCTCCACAAACAGGGTCACAAAGGAAAAACAAGCACCAAACCAAGAAAAGAATTCGGAGCAGGTTCAGAGTCAGGTGCTGAGCGATGTTAACATTGAGGAAAGGAACTTGCAAACCTCAAACCTCAGGAGCACAGTCATTGTGAGTTCCAGTGTACTGAAGAAGGTGGTGATTGAGGCTGAGCCCTGTGACTGGGAACAGAGACTGGTTATATCAGTTAATATAGAAGTAAAAGACTGGAGGAATCTGTTAAACACAGCGGTGGAAAAATTGAAAATCAAAGACGAGGAAGCCCTGAAACCTTTCTCAGACAGAAAGGCTATTATGGTAGTTGGTGATGAAGCAAGACAGGATTTCATGACGCTCGAGTTTGAAGGTGGGCTGGTCCAGGTACAGAAGTGGAGGCCGCTGTGTAATTAGATGGAGCCGCTCTCTGGTAGTTTTCGGGTTAAGTTGTTTGGTTTGCCGTTTCACCTCTGGAGTGAGTCTTTCTTGGAGTATATTGTGAGGTCTCTAGGGGGAGTAATGGAGGAAGTCTCTCTACATGACTTGCAGGCTACGGAGGTTAGGGTAACAGGGGTGAAACCAGAAACCCTTCCAAGATCAGTTGATATTCTCACAGCTGAAGCATGGTATAGAGTCTGGCTGATAACAGAAATGGAAGCAACTCTGTGAGGAAGAAGCTCCAAGGTTGAAGACAAAGCTGATGTGGCGGGCTGGTATACACATGGCATACATTCGGAGGTGAGGAACTCTGATGTTCTGAACAAACTAGATGGGGAAGAGACGGGATCTGCTCCTCACAAATGGGTGCCTCACATGCATATCCACCGTGCATTGGGAACATCTCCCGTGAATAATAATTAATAAGTACGGGAGATGTTCCCAATGCATGGTAGGATGTGCATGTGAGGCGCCAGGTGTGAGGAGCCAATCCGATCTCGATGGGGAAACTGAAAAGTTGAGGTATGTAACCCAAAGGTTAAGTAAGTTATTTAAAGAAAGAATTTCAAAAAATTTTGAATTAGAAAGATTTGAGGAGGTCCGGGCCTCTTATGCTGACGTGGCCAAAAGGGGAAGCGGTCCGGCCAAGAGGTTGGGAGGGGTTGTCGAGTTGGGTTCAACGGGGAGTCTAAAAGCCTCAACCAAAGCCCAGCAGACCAACCCACATGACTCTTTAAGTGGTCACGTGGATCGGGGAAAAAGAGTTATTGTAGACGGTAAAAACCGTCTATCTTCTTCTCCACAAAAAGTGAAGACTCATCTTCTTCCTATGGCCCGAAGGGTAGAACAGACCTCTGAAGGTTCTCTGCAATGGGTCACTCGAACTGATGCAGTCTCTGTTAGTGCCTATCAGGCTGTACAGGATCGGCCAAACCCAAGATACTCTAGAACTCGCCTCGAGGAAAGGGAGGGTGCTGATGAGGACTGGGTAGACTGCAGTTTGGAGGAAGATGAGAGTGAAGAGACTCTGGAGATTGCTCAAGCCTTGGTAGTGTTGGGGATGAAATTTCGACTGAGGAAGAGCTTGATGCAACGTTAAATTTGGAGCTGCTGTTTAAAGGAGAAGCTGAAGGTGAAAATCTCAACTGTTCGTTTCAGCTGGACAGAGAAGAGTTAGTCAATGCTCTGGAAAAAAACCAAACCGTAGGAGTTGGAAAGCCTAGCTCAACTTCAGAGGAACCATTTCCAAATCATGATGCTAGACAGGAAGCGTGTAAGGAAATTTTAGAAACACCTTTGCGGCAGGACAGGGATACAATATAGAGGAACAAACAAAAGGGTACAATGAAAGATCACTGTTTAACAAAAGAGACAGGTAGCTGCACCAAAAGCCATGGCTCTCCTTTCCCAAACCAACAAACCCCAGGTAACTGTGTCTTTTCAGGTTTTGCTACTAATGAGTGTTTTGTGTCCTCTGTGCCAGATTCAAGTCCCATGCCAGAGATTGCAATTCCTGTGGGAGGAGAAGGGGGGGGAGAGCGCAGTGAAGTTAGGGAGAGTCGTGGGGATGGAAGGCAGGAGGAAGCAGAGAGAAATAAGAAAATACTGGAAATTTTGGAGAGGTTGCTGAATGATTTCGAGGAGAATCATCTTCAGAAGGGATGATCTCTGAAAAAGCAAAAGTGGACAAAAGAAGGTTGGGGGGAATGAATCAGGAAGGAATGACCAAACAATATGATAGAGGAGAGTTGAATAATGAAGATTTTGTGGCAGACTTTGTGGGGAAGCTTGGATGTAAATTGAAAGATATAAATGATCTCAAAGTGTTCTTCTAGTTCATCCATTGATTGGAATTTGGGTTCTAGAAGGCCCTTAGAGACCCGGAATTGAACCTCATTGCTGACCTGCTAAAAGTCCTTGAGGGGGTGACTATTGATCCACTTAGGAGGGATAGTAGGATCTGGACTCCTCCTTCGGGTGTTTTCTCATGCTCCTCGTTCTTCAAAGCTTTGGCCCATTCCCCACCTGTCTTTGGAATCCCTTTTCCAGTTTTGGAAGTCTGGGGTAGACCAATTCCTCCCA